GAGAAATTGTGGGTTTTCCTCCCGAGATGATTTTGTTTTTTTTTCTAACAAAACAACCCAGTGTTTTACTCTCTCTCTCTCTGCTGTGTTTTTGTGTGTGTGTGTATGTCTCTCTCTCAGAGAGAGTATCGGAGGGACTATGAGGAGCAGATGAAGGGGAAAGCCTTGGTTGACGTAGACCAGACACCTGGATACCTGACAGCTCTCCACGCCAGCAGCCTGCTGAGCGAGGTAACACACTCACAGACACAGTTTCTCTAGCATTGTTAAAACAGGCTGAGGACTTTCTCACAGCTTTGGTTGCTGAAAAAGTCTCTCTCTCTCTATCATCTCTCATCTTCTCTTCTCTCTCTCCTTTTCTCTCTCTCTGTCTGTAGAAGGCGTACAGGAAGGACCTGGAGCAGGAAGTGAAGGGGCGGGGCTTATCCGGCATCGGGCTGGAGGACACACCTGAGCTGCTGAGGGTTAAAAACGCCAATCAGATACTGAACCAGGTAAAAGACACACCAGACACACACACAGTGACATTTAATAGTACAAGATCTGACCTGAGTGTTTGTGTGTGGTGGTGTGTGTGTGTGTGTCTGTGTGCCATCTACAGAAGGACTACCGCAAAGATTTAGAGAGGGAGATTGTGGGTAAAGGCATGGAGGTGAGCTCAGACGTTCTTGAGATACAACGAGCCAAGAGGGCCTCGGAGATCCAGAGCCAGGTAACTGTGTGTGTGTGTGTGTGTGTGTGTGTGTACAAGACTTAACAGAAGGAAGGAATAACAAAGTTAAATGTTTTGTCTTAATAGCTAAAAATTTGCTCCACCTGCCTTCTATAATTGAGCTGACCTTTAGTTGCAAGTTTATAGTTGTTGATTTTCTTGTGAAGAGTTTGTTTTGAATTGATCCTCAAATGCATAATTAACCCTAAGCCTAACCCCAAGTTTTAATAATAGTGGAAAAACACATCGCTGGATTTCGGGTTGACATAAAAAAATTTAAATTAACCTGAAAAGTTGTGACAACAACAGGAGTGAAGATTATCTGTTACAACAAAGGAGCTGATGGTGTGTGTGTGTGTGTATGTGTTTGTGTGTGTGTGTGTGTGTGTGTTTGTGACACAGAGGTCCTACAAGCAGACGGAGCAGCTCAGAGAAAACTCATACGGGACGGTCACAGACACTCCTGAACTGCTGCACGCCTCCTACCTCAAAGACGTCTACAGCCAGGTGTGTGTGCGTGTTTTCGTCACCTACAGGGGACCTTTTCTGACATAAACATTGACCTTGTGGAGACCTGTAGGCCTCATGGGGACCAAAGTCCTAATACAGCAATTTATCATTTCTGAGGTCCTGCTTAGGGTTAGGGAAGATGCTGGTACATCTATTGTTGGAAGTGGAGAAAGAGTCGACCCCCAACCTTTCTAACTCCTTCTCTTCCTCCTTACAGAAGAAGTATAAGGACGAAGCGGAGCGTCTGAAGGGAAGCTACAGTATGCTTTCAGAAACCCCCGAGATGGAGAGAGTCAAAGCCAACCAGAGACACATCAGCTCCGTGAGCACACACACATTTTTATTCTAGTCCCAAATACACATTCATTATCTTTCAATTCTGCGGGATGTCTCTTGTATCAGAGTGACACCATCCTTCTGAACTAGCCCCAGACTGTAGTGTTTTTAAAGCAGCTCTCTGTCGCCCTCTAGCTACGGTACTGCTGGGACTCCAAGCTGATGAGAGGCCTGATGTCGTCCGTCGCAGAGACACCAGAGATCGTCCTGGCCAGAGAGAGCACCAAGAAGATCAGTGATGTACGTGTTCATGTACAGAACATTAACTCACATTCATGTCATAAAATATATTCATTATGGGCTCAGGAAGGGATGAAGATATAATCTGTAGTCTGTAGTCTAGGAATTCTTTTTATGGCTCAATTGAGTAGCAAAAGGATTAGAAAAGACTTGAGATGTTCTGAAATCTCAACAGTTAAACCACAAATGAAGCTACTGAAGCTACTGATGAACAAGCCTCTGAGCTATGCTGTGGTCAGTGGTCGAAAACTGCTCCTTTAAAGCTGGTTACTCTGTTCAGGTCCAGTACAGAGATGAAGTGGGTTGTGGCACCGCTGTCATGGACACACCCGAGATGGAGCGAGTCCGACGCAACCAGGACAACATCAGCTCGGTCAGAACACACACACACACATACATACACATACATACCCTGGTAGCTAACTTGGTAGAGCCGTGAACCACGGTTGAGTCCTTGCTGCAGCAGGAACGTGTGAATGTGTGAGAGTGCGGAGAGAATGCGTGTGAACGAAGGGGTGTGTGTGTGTGTGTGTGTGTGTGTGTGTGTGTGTGTGTGTTAGTAATAATGGATGGGTGTTGTTTTGAGGAAGTGATGGAGTGGGAGGCCACAGTGTTTGTGGACCCAGAAGCAGTTCAGTGAATGTATAAACTGATAAATGAGCAACAAACGTTTGCGTGTGTACGTGTGTGTGTGTTTTGCAG